GTTGTGAATGTCGTGAATATTTGCAATTCATTCAACAATCCATTTCAATTTTCAGGTGGCTTTAGAAGCGATGCTGCTGACGCTGATTCTCTGTCCCGTGTGTTTTGGTTTCAAAATAAAAGAAAGTTCCGTTAGTTTGAAACTTTGGAAAACGTCATTTGCTGTCCTATAGAAAACTACAGGCAGCGATTCACTTGTTGAAGTTCTCATTGATCATTTTAAGACATGCTGATGAGCGTGGGAACTCCCTGAACTTTTGGTTCGAATTTTGAAACAACAATGTCAATGAAAGGATTTAAGCACAGACGGGCTTATCCGCCGTCTGTGCGCGATCTAACAGACGGACACAAGAGTCGGGGGCCGCCTTTGCTGTATTCCCCCCCACCCCCCAAGTACCAGGAGGAGCATAAAAACCTGCGCTCGCGCGAGTGCAACCGGATGAATTGTTTTCCGGCGCACTCGGAAACGTTGGCTACGTTTTCCCTTTTACAGATCATGAATATTGGCTCCAAATATTGTTGTCGGCCCTGGAAAAAAAAATGTCAATCGCTAATAATAATCTGATTGCAAGACGACAGTGTTGGTTTTAAGCGGTGGTTTAAGGCGCAGGTAGCAAATGCACGGCCTGTCATTGAAAAGGGTGAAAGATGAAAAGTGTGAAATTGAATCCAACAGCATCCATGCATCCATTTTCGGATGTGCTTTATCCTCGGGGGAGACGCGGGTGACCCCGTTGTTGGGTGGGAAAGGTTTATATGAGATATCCGCAGATGCGTTTATGATTCTGCCACAGTGGCAAGCTCCTGACAACTGGACAGTTGAGGGCTGTAAACATGTGGAAGGGCGTCTTCAAAATGCACAGCGCGCACACATTAGCGTGTCGTGGGACCTTCGCCTCCACAAAATGGAAAGCTGGAAAGATCATCAAGGACGACAGTCAAGCAACCTGCACTCGACTCTCCCTCCGTTGCCGTCTGGAAACCCGCACCTGAGCACTAAATCACGCGCAGCCCATTTGCTACTCCATCCTGGTTCCAGCTCATGAGCGGACCTTGCTTGCAACGCCGTGTTTTGCTATCAAGGTGCACGCCTACGACGGCAAATACAAACACAAAACCAACCACTGAAATGCCCATACGGAACAAATCGAAATCAAATCCTCCTGAAATGACAAAAGTCTTCAAGAATTTTGCGCCTTGTCACTTTAATTAGCCTACGCTAGTCTAATCTAATTAACTACTGACTGCCACAGTGGGAGGGATTTTAATCAGAGTCCCATTAAACCCAGACTACAGATGACAAGGTTGGTCAGATTATTGAGGGATTACATCCATCTGCGCCGCCACTGTCGAGGAACAGAAGTCAGCGGTGGGAAGGACGGGACAAAATACGTCAAAGAACAACATCTCCTCGTCCAGATTGTGGCCGAAGAGCTTAGGGTAGATAGCACACGTGCGCGCACCTTTGCAACGTCGCAAAGATACGTTCCATTTTGTCTCCGGGAAATCACAACTCATGCGCTTGCTGCGTCTCGCCTCCATCATTGCGATCAAGGATCGGGCAGTTATCCCCATAGCAGTGGGAATACTACTCGGAACGCCATGTTTCAACTAGTGGAGGTGCATAGAACGTTTTGTAAAGAACCGTTTTACTTGACTTCCCCTTTTAAGTCTTTTATATGTTCATTTTTGCTGTCATGTGTAGAATCAGACGAGTCGAGTTAGTCTTTTTTTCCTTCAAGGCAGTTTATTCCCTGTGTTACTTTGCTACTTCGAACCATGCTTTTATAGTTTTTAGTTCATTTTTGGTTCTTTTGAAAAAAAACAAAACACTTTTTAAAATGACTCCTGCTCACCAGTCTTGCCTTCATGCTTCCCTGCACTCGGGGCCACCTTTTGCCTCCGCGTTCAACCGCGCAAACCTCGACATTTTGTAAAAACTTCTCTCGACCTCATTTCAGCCAACGTCAAAGAAATGGTTATTTTGTTTTGATTCTTTTTGACTCTTGAAAAGACTATGTTCTAAAGATGGGGGGGGGGGGGAGGTCCAGGTATTTTTGACCAACATTTATGTGTTTGCTTGAATTGACAGTTGGTGATGTCAGGATGGGTGGATGGTGTGGGTTTGGAGAGTGAGATCGAAAAACGATGGAATACAAAACTGTTGATGGAGAGACAGCGAGATAGAGAACATTCCCAAACATACAGAGGCATCCTTGTGGTCAAGATGAAGGAAGGGGGTGAGTTATGTTGTCATGTGTCCGATATAATCCCGTCATTTCTTCACAAAGGATTTGTCTCCTCTCAAAACAAGTGCCTGCCACCATCTATCTCCGATGGGAAGAGTTACATTGCTCCTGTGCTCTCTCTTTCTCTCTCACAAACAGAATTAGCAACCAGTTCACGATAATAACATTAGAAATGACTATTGTTGTCAATTTTAACGTCTGTGTCTATATGCCGGTTGACATTCACAAGTGAGAAACTGTGTCACGTTAACTGACATAGATATTAAAACACCAAAGTTATTCAGCCTTAAAACAGCGGGTAATGTATTCGTGTATTTTCCTTTTCTGTGAAATCGAATATAAACAACAGTACGACATCATTGCAACAATTACGAATGACAACAAAGCATATCCAAAGCGGCAGTGTTCATTTTATGGCACTGCTATGCTATATTGGAAAAGGATGTGAGGCAATACAACACGCGCGCTCTCTCTCTCTCACACACACACACACACACACACACACACACACACACACACACACACACACACACACACACGCACACACGCACGCCACATATACACA